AGATCCATTAACTTACTCATACCTACAAAATCGTAGGATTTAAACTCATATCCTCCCCCTCATTAGCCAGCTTAAGTGAAAGAAAGAAAGCGCTCAGCTGCTATTTGGAGGTCTTCTCTCTGGATCCTGTTTTTAAGGATTCCTGTTTCCCCTCTGTTTTGTTTTTAAAATTCCCGTCCAATATCCAGATGTGCTCATGGTTTCCACTGACTCTTGCATATTCTGGTAATATGTGTTTCTACCCTGATCTCTGTAGATCAGGGTAGATCTGTATAGATCTACAAGGTGGCTGAGAACAGCCACCCTTGCTCTCTGGCACTGTGTCCAGCCCAGGGAGGACCTGGAAACAGACTGGAAGGAGGGACAAGATGACATTGGGGTTTGTATCCCCCAGGCTCCCTCCCTGCAAAGTTGCAGCAGTGGCTGCCCAGGTCCCACCAGGTGGCCATCTTCACAACAACCATCTCCAAACCGCAATCATCCAACGGTTCCCTGAGCGCTGAAGAATTTCGAATTCAAACTGTGGTGCTGGAGAAGACTGTTGAGAGTCCCTTGGACTGCAAGGAGATCCAACCAGTCCATCCTCAAGGAGATCAGTCCTGAATATTCATTGGAAGGACTGATGTTGAAACTACAATACTTTGGCCACCTGATGCAAAGAACCGACTTATCAGAAAAGACCCTGATACTGGGAAAGATTCAAGGTTAGGAGGAGAAGGGGATGACAGAATTTTGACATGAGTTTGAACAAACTCCAGGAGATAGTGAAGGACAGGGAAGCCTGGTGTGGTGCAGTCTATGGGGTTGCAAAGAGTCGGATACAACTTGGTGACTGAACAGCACCAATAACAGTTTCCAAATGTTTTGATCTCAGAATCCTTTTAGAAATTGTGGAAGACACCCCTCCCCAAGAGCTTTTGTTTTTCTCGAAACGTTAACCATGCTAGAAATTAAAGCTGAGAAATTCTCAAACACAAGACCTGCAAACATCACATAGATAGAAAACTCCTTTGAGTGCTCATGATGGAACAAGAACAGAGGAGGCAAATAACTATCTCAGTATCCCTTGTAAGATGGTTTTTGATGCTGTGGATCTCTGACAGAGTCTCAGGGATCCCACAGGCTTCCAGCCTAAGAACCGCTGCACACACGGCCCCTTCAGACTCACTCCAGGATGCTTCCCCAGTCCTTGCTAGGTTTCTCGCTCTGCCTGGACGTTCATAATTCAGCTTTACGCTTCTCTCCTCCACCATTCTGTTTTGAGTACGATCTCTGTTTTCTACCAGAATGCTGACTCATCACAGATCAGGGGATGATTGGAAATTTACCTTGGAAATAGGGTTGGGGCCAGAAGAGGCTCAGGAATGCCAGCAGCAAAGGAAAAAATATTCCTTCTTCCTGCGCTGACCTTTGTCCTGTGAATGTTGATTCATCTTTTAAGTGGTATTTATTAGCTCCTCACTGATGAAAGGGTGCATGTGGAACCAGACAGATGAAGACTTCTTTTTCCGGGACGCAGGCCAGAATGTAGAGATCTACTTGCTGCCAGAGATGTAGACAAGACAAACCTTCTTCAGAGGAGGCTCTGGAAATGAGTTCATGAGGAAGAAACGAAGGAAAGTTTCCTCTGAAGGAAAGGAATTTCTTCCTGTCTTCCGGGCTCCCACTGAATTCGGATCAGAACTCAGCTGTCCCATATCACTTTATCTTGTCATGTATATGACATATTTCTCTCCCCTCTTCTAGACTGCAAGCTCCTCAAGACACTTTCAGTCACCAAGGCAGTTCTATCTTCAGTGTGTGAGAAGTGTTTGTTGAAGGATGAAGTAGAGAGAGAACTCTTTTTCATAACCACCATTTTGTTGCCCATAGTCAACAGGAGGCAGTTCATGCTTAGCTGCAAAGATCTGTTTTTTTTTTTAACAGTTTTCTAGAGGTATAATTGATCTGCAAAAAAACTACATATATTGAAGATGTATAATTTGATGATATTGAACCTATGCCCATGATACCATTAGCACAATCAAGGATAAAGCAAATATCACCTAAACTTTTCTTATGCTTGTGTCTCTTTATTGTTTTCTGTGGTAAGAATATGCAACATGAGATTTACCCTCCTATACGTAACAAATTTTTAAGTACAAATACTGTGTTAACTGTGGGTACCATGTTGTACAACAGGTCTCTAGAATTTGCTCATCCAGCTTAAGTGAAACTTTATACATTGTTGAACAATGACTTTCCATATCCCCTACACCTAGCCCCTGACAACCACCATTCTATGCTCTGCTAGAGTTTGACTATTTTAGAAACCTCATGTAAGTGGAATAATGCATTGTTATTTTTATAAATCACATGGAAAGTCATTCAATATGCCTGGAGAAGCAGAAAGGGAAGCCCCTGAAATGTTTATGCAGGTGTTGTGATACCTTCGGGATAAATGATTCGAAATAAAAAGCCCCAAGTTTCCATCTCAGCCCCACCATTGACTAGTGGGACTGCCTTTCACAAGTCACTTCCTTTCTCTGAGCTCCATATCCTCAGAATGAATGGTTTGGACTAGAGGAGTGAATGCCAACCTATGGTTCCACATTTCAGGGTGCCTCTGCAAGGGATCTGGAATCCACAAGGGTACCAAACATTGCTGGATGCCTTAAAAATTAGTATCTCTGACACATATCTGAATTATGTTTCCACATATGTGCAGATGTGCTTATAATTGATGAAGTATGAGCCTCTTATGTCATTCTTGAAATTGGTATGTATATTTTGATTTTTTTCCAATCAAAAGATAATAAAATTATTTGGTGTGTCATAACCTGACTCTAGAGAAAAGCTCTTCTTCTTGGAAAAATTGGAAACTGATGAGCCTCAAGCCTTGGTTTTGCCTCTGAAGGCTCTAGATCTGAGGCATGAAGCAAGAATGGACAGTTTTTCTCACCTGCAGATCAGAAGGGCTTTGCTCACCATTGTTACATACACTGATGTAGGAAATGTCTGCCTAAAGCCAATGAACATGCCTTCTAGTTTTCTAGTTCATTTCCTTCTCCACAGACAGCACCCATGACATAAACACAAGCCCCATATTATGAGAAGAGCCAGAAGTGTTTAAAGTCTGTGGTGGAAAAACATTTTTTTGAACCAGACAAAGCAATTTTTGCTCTCACCTTCACCCACTGTAATCTATAATCATCACTCAAAAGTATTTTAGAAACTTCCTTTCTCCAATGGATGAGACAGATTTGAAGGAGAACTGAAGCTACAGAACAACATGTTTGGGAAGCCACTAAGCAGATGAAAAAAAATTTGTTAACTTTCAGGGATATTTGTCAATGCCTAATTCAAGAAATTCACTGACAACTGAATGGGAATTGTCAACTCTTAGAACCAATGAACTAAACAATTATGCTTTAAACATTTTCAATAATATTTTTTCCTATATTTCTGCTACCAAAATAATACGTATCTACTGTAAAATTTGGAAAAGATAGAAAGCCTCAAAAGAATGTCTAAACCACCATCAATCTACATGCAGCATTTTACACACTTGTATGTATCTTTATACTTAGAAATTTTAAATTGGTTCATATTATTTGTATGTTTGATAACTTGGCTTTTCTTAAAAGCTTTTATTATAGATTATTAGATACATATGAAGAACTGTACGTAAGTTACATTGTAAAGCATGATAATAAAATGAATTATGCTTACAGATTCAAATATCACCATTGTTGTTTAACCTGCCTTTATGCTTCTCCTCAGTTCTCCCGACTTGGAATATGCAGGTGTAAGGCTGGGAGCTACAGCAGCCATATGGTGAGCATGAGGGAAAGGCTAAGAAAATTAATGAAAAATCTGATCTTGACAATCCTTGCACCCATCTATCTACAAATTTATGTTTATGCCATTTTAAAATCTGGTTATATGACTTGCTTAAATACTGCATGTTTGATTTTTTGTGAACGAGACTGAATGTAGTATTGATTGGGGTGGCATCTCTCATCCACTTATTCCCCAAACTAGATTCTTATATCCAGCAGTATCCAAAAAGTTAGTGAAGAAGTTCCACAAATAATCTTTTAAAACATCTTACACTTGTAAAAAATTTATATATTTATATATTCGGCCATGTCACTTGTGGGATCTTTGCTCCCTGACTAGGGATCAAACACATGACCCCTGCATTGGAAGCATGAAGAGTCTTTAACCACTAGACCACCAGGGAAGTCCCCTCTATAAGTAGGTTTATTAAATCAGGGTTCACATTTCTTAGTGAAGTTCACATGGTCTGGCCACTCCCTGTTTTCTTATCTTCATGAGTTAATCACGCTGTCTCTCATGCATTTGGTCACCGACCTGACTCTTTACAATTTCCAAGAAAATACTAAATTCTTTCCAGTTTCATGGCTTTCAAGCATTCTGTTTCATTTGCCTGGATCTCTTCTCCCCTAAGTTATGGTCCCATTCTAAATAAGCCCCACCTCTTTGTAAGCAAATCACTTTAGACTTGGAGTCCCACTAGAGGAAATTCCTTATCAGTTTTGTAGATTGTATACCAAGCATAGACTAGCACAGTGCCGATTATAATCGCTCAAAAGTATGTTGTTAGATGAGCAGGTGAATACATTGTGTGCTAAGCGAGAGTCAAACAAAGCCTATCCTCGGTTCTTCTTTAAGTTCCCAAGCCAGGTTCTTCATCTTTGAGATGGGTAAAAGATCCTTCTGTTTCAGCACAGTTTGAGAAATAAATGTGATCATTGTGTTTAGGGGCTTAAATAGGTGCTTGAAATATGGCATATTTGCCTCTGATGGAGTCTTTATTCCCCAATTAACAAATTTTCCTTCCAACTTCACACTTCACAACTAACACTTGGTAGAATTATTATTAGTGATAATTATAATCCATTCCCATACATGCTGAGCACTTGTTCATATTCCAGTATGTTATATATATGACCTTATTTTTATGTCATAGGCCTGTTATTATCCATTTGTTGCAGATGAAGAAACTGAGGGTGAGACTAAGGACAAGCTTCTTGGGGTGCCCGGCTGCTGCCTACAGACAGACACCTACAATCAGGCTTCATCAGAAACTAGCCAGCAGAGAGTCTGATATTTACAGGGTGTGTTCCCTGCCCTTGCTTCATTTTGTTCTTTTCCTGAGAAAAAGGCAAAGCAGAATAAAATGAGCTGATACCATTTTTTTTTTTTTTTTTAAAGAAAAGCAAGTTCCAAAGACTGCTCTGAGGTCAATACGGATTTTCATTCCAATCTTCTCTCCTCCTAGATCCACAGGCTCTGAAATGAAAATTGACACTCAAGCTGGTGACCCCAAGGCAGGATCTTCAACCAGAGAACAATGCTTGAGTCAGACCTGCGGCAGCATACCTTCCAGGTCCGGAAAGCAGACTGATACGCATTACAGAGATTTACCTACAAGAACTGAAAGCAAAAGGCGTTTTTTTTGTTTTTTTTTTTTAATATATAAGGTTCACTGTATTTTTTTGTTGTTGTTGTCTTTGTTTCTAATTATTTATTTATTTTACTTTACAAAATTGTATTGGTTTTGCCATACATTGACGTGAATCTGTTTTAACCTGAGCTCCTTATGTACTGGTTGGCCAAAATGTCTGTTCACGATTTTCCAAAGCAATTTATGGCCAACCTGATCTTTCTGGCCAACTCAATAGAAACTTACAGGTAGGAGGTGCTTAATAAATGCTGGCTGAAATGCATTTCATGGGTCTCATGATATAGTGAGATTTTATGATTTTAATATAGTTTATTCTTCATGTCACACAATTTAATATGGCAACCCGTACTCTTCAAAACTTGCCCTAACCTTGCCTTCCAGCTTCTTCTCTTAATAATCCAGCCCTGGCACATAGTTCTAACCACATCTGTGTACTGTTTCCTAGATACACCCTAGTGTTTAGTTGCTGTGTTTAGCTGCTCTGCACCTTTGTACCTGCTTCCAAGAATTCCTGTACCCCAGTCTCACCTCTTTTCATAGATTTGGCCAACTCATCCAGTAGGTCTCTGTTACACAGGCTTTTCCCCCATGAAGCCCATCCAAGGTAAGACAGATCCACACCTGTGAGCTTTCAAATCTTCCAGACATAATTATAGCAACATTTTCCATTTTGTGGCACAGTGTGGCTGGCAGATATTTATTAAAATGTGGACTTTAGAGTTGGAAAGATGGGGCCACAAATTCCTACTCTATCACATTAAAGTCATGCATCCTGGTGATTTACCTCAATGTGAGCTTCCATTTCCTCTTTGGAAATGAGGGTACTCTGACTTGACGGTTAGGGCTGTTGTGGGAATGGGAGGATCTGGTTCATGGTCAGCAGGTGCTTCATTCTGGTTACTCAGGCTCTCAGCTCAAAGTTCTCGCTTGAGAATGGACCCCCCATCTAATATCCCACTCCTCCATCCTACCCTCTTCTTTAAGCTTTGGGCTCAGGTTGTCCAATTTCAAATTCCAGCTCTACTACTTCTGAGTGTGGGTAAGTAAACTAATTCTGTTCTCTCACTTTCCTCACATGTAAACTGGGACTAGTAATAATAATAATGGACTCATAAGCACGTCACAGGGACCACTGAAAGCTCAGATGAGTACCCGATGCTGAATACTCTAGTCGTTACTGTACTGTTCACTCCTGTGTCCCTGGGGGCACACACTAGCGCCTGGCTCAGGGAGGAACTCATCTTGTATTTGCTGAATGAATAAATGCACATGCTCTGGTTCTTTTCTCCTTCCATTGCCTCCTATCCTTGGTTCTTGGAATAGAATGTGGGCTCCCCTGGGGCAGGAAGAAGGTGCCATTGCTATTAGGTGGTCAACCGTCAGCTCAGGGTCTGGCACCAGCGGTTAAGTCAGTTTCATGGAATAGGAGGGACATTGTCCACAGCGTATTCCCGCTGTGTTCCCCTGGAAGTGAGTTCAATAGCATCAGCTGGCAGAACAGTCAGCACTCCGCCCACCACTCAGCAACCTCTTGCCACCACTTACTCAAGCTCACTTAACAGAGGGTGACCCAGGGGTGCTAAGCTGCTTCCTCTCTGGCATGACAAGGATCTGGGCCATTGTCTCTCTTGACTGAGTACAAGACTTACTTATTCTGCTGGCAGATGCATTTAGATGATGCCCTGTTTGGCTAGCAGCAAGAGGACTCTTTTCTTTCTTTGTGGGTCTAATCCCTTGAATCAATATTTGTTCCCACCTCCCTCTGTTTACAGATGGAGATGGCTGGGCTGAAACGACATCTCCAAAGTAAGAGGACCAAAGTGGGCCACGGGGAGAGAGTCTGAGAGAGAAAAGGAAGGTTCCAACCTGAGGGCCATTCAACAGCTCAGGCACTCTGCTTTCCAGTAAAACTAGTCACTTCTTTGGTGAATTCCCTTAAGCTCTTTGCGAGTTTCCCAAAAGAGGTGATGCAGGAGGAGCGGAGGGGCAGCCAACTGCAGTTCAGTCTGACCAACAAAGAGAAGTAGGCCATGGCTGACTAACAGAGGGGCATTGATGGAGACAGGCTCTGGCACCAGGAGGCCACCCGGCTTGAATATTCTTTTCTTCCAAAACAAGAGGGCCTCCCAAAGCCTGGAGTCACACTGTCCACGCCTGGGTTTGTAAAGTGCGTGTTTCTCTCGCACAGAGCCCGCGGCACCGTCTCTTTGGCTCAGTCTCCCATCCCCTCCCTTCCTCACGACGGGACACAGGCTATTTTTGTCCATTCTCAACACCGTCATCCCTGAGTTTGCCTCCTACAGCCAGATGCAGTATCTCCGCACAGCTGCCGGCAGAGTCTGACTCTGCTACCAGACAGATGCTATTCCATCACACACGCACTCTGGATGCCAACTCGAGAGCATTCTCCTAGTCCTCTGCTGGGTGATCACTTTTCAGGTCAGGTGGGAGGGGAGAGAGGGAGGGTGGGGAGAGGAGTGAAGAGAGAGGGGGCAGACTGACCGATGGAGGACGCCAAGGCAATGTGAGACTGGAGAGCTCTGATTTTCATTTATTTAAGATTTTTTCTTCTTGATGTGGACCATTTTAAAAGTCTTTATTGACTTTCTTACAATATTGTTCCTTTTTTTATGTCTTGATTTCTTTTTGTTTGCCAAGAGGAATGTGGAATCTTAGCTTCCTGACGAGAGATCAAACCCACATCTCCTGCATTGGAAGGTGAAGTCTTAACCACTGGACCACTGGTGAAGGCCCCTAAATCTCCGACTTTTAAACCAGCTGTGATGGAAGGGTGCTTAGAAGGACATACTCTACTTTCATTTGTGTGTCCTTGAAAGTTGGTATGAAACCTGAAGCAGGAGAGTGTCGATCAAGAAATTAGCAGAATAAAGGACATTCTCCTAAAAGCTAAAAGTCATTAAACATTGACTAACTTATATTACTTTTTAGACATAACAGTTGAGATACGTGTGCTGCGCTCAGTCGTGCCTGACTCTTTGTGACCCCATGGGCTGTAGCCCTCCAGGCTCCTCTGTCCATGGGATTTCCCAGGTAAGAATACTTCAGTGGGTTGCCATTTCCTTCTCCAGGGGATCTTCCTGATCCAGGGATGGAAGCCTTGTCCTGAATTGGCAGAAGGATGCTTTACCCCTGTGTCACCTGGAAGCCCAACTCATCTTACCTTTGAAATATAACAGTTGAGATATTGGCCATTCATTTCACATGTAACAATTTATTTGGCTTTTTTCTTGCACAACTGAACACAAGCTGGTGTGCTTCAGCCTAAAATGGGTCCAGCTGAGGCCAGAGTTTACTTTTTGGACAGGCTTAACATATATCCCAGGGACGGGGGAGCCTGGTGGGCTGACATCTACGGGGTTGCACAGAGTCGAACACGACTGAAGCGACTTAGCAGCAGCAGCAGCAGCAGCAGCAACATATATCTGCTGTCCCCAACTCAGCTGTATTAAGGTAACAAGGCCAGAGTTACTTCCTGTAATGGTCACTTAGCTATCATAGCTGTCTTCACTTCTTCACTGTTATTCTTGTCATAGACGAGGGTGGGGACGTTGCTGTGGTCTGGGGGTCAGCATCTCCACATTCACAGTGTTTATTTCATCTAGCAAAAGACAGCAGCACATGAAGCAGAAATGTCCTGCTTGCTAAAAAGTCAAAAGTCACAGTCCAGGGCCATCTGTGGTGGGTCAAAAATTGGGCTCTGTGAACAAAGGAGGGCTTGAATCCTGTTTGCTGGTTCTGAAGCTCTTTCCATAGTGTCTGGGGTCCAAAAGACCAGGATATGCTTAAAGGTCAATGCCATAAATAGCACCATCATCAAGAGCTAAAGCCTGATCATGGGAGGAATAAGGAATCAGAATAAGAATGAGCCCTATTGTCAGCTAGTAGTGAAATTTATGGGCCTTGGAGGGGCCTGGCCAGTTTTAACACTTGGCAACTCCTTTGTCTGTCCGCTCACCAAAGCCACCCAGGCTGGGCTTCCGTCCTTTTGAGTAGAGCACAGTGAAGGTCATAGATTTCAGAGTCCCAGAGCCCTGGCCCGGGAATGGGCTTCCCGTCTTCTGCATGAACTTGGGTACATTCATTACAACCTCTGAAATTTGATTTCACTTATCAAATGAGAATAGTACCGTTTACTTTATACTAACTCTTAAGAGGGTCACAGGGTTCAGATGGATACACATATAAAATTATTAGCATAATCTGACACATGATGAATCCTTCGACTGGTCGTTCTCAATGGAGGATGGCTTTGCTGCCCAGCAGACATCTTGCGACATCTGAGGAGTTTTCTCAATTATAGGACTGGGGGGAGTAGATGATACAGGCATCTAGTGGGTAAGTCAGGAATGCTGCTAAGTATACTAAAGTCCACAGCCCCATAGAGTAAGGAATCATCTATCTCAAGGTGTCAACAGTGCCAAGGCTGAGAAACTCTGGTGAGATAAATAACAACCATTATGCGCCAGGCATGTTCCTGTATGAATGGAATCTCTTTAAATTGTACAGGTTCCAAAATGCGGATGCTGACTTAAAAGGCTGATAACAAGGACAACACCCACTCATTTACAAAGAGCTTTCACATACTTACTACACTATTTCATTTAATTTTCAAAAGGACC